GCACCTCTTCCAGCATTTGAGAATATTGGCTCATGAAAGTGGAGGCAGCTCCAGATTTGCACTTTGGGAGAACCACTACATCTAAAGCCAAATTAGGAAGCTTAGTGTAAACGATACTGAATGGGGACTTAACGGTTGACCGATTCACCATTGAGTTATAAGCAAATTCCGCCGTGCTCAGCATGTCTTCCCACTACTTCGGGTGGTCTTGTACAAGGCAGCGAAGCATACTTCCAAGATTCCGATTAACTACCTCAGTCTGCCCATCGGACTGAGGATGATAGGCGGAGCTCAGCCTCAGATCAGTGCCCAAGCGTTTCCACAATTCTCGCTAGAAATGACTGATGAATTTGACATCACGGTCGGATGTCAAGCTTCTAGGAACTCCATGTAGGCGGACCACTTGGTGAAAGAACAAATGAGCGACTTGAAGAGCATTGGACGTCTTCTTACACGAAAAAAGTGCGCCATTTTTGAGAAACGGTCGACGACCACCATTATCGAATCGTTTCCTCTGTTGGTCCGAGGCAATCCAAGAACGAAGTCTAAACTGAGGTCTTCCCAGATAGAATCGGGTGTTGGCAGCGGTAGGTAGAGACCCGTGTTTTGGGCTCCGCCCTTGTAGCTCTGGCAGACCGGGCAACGCTCCACAAAGCGGAAGACGTCCCGGCGAAGACGTGGCCAATAGAATCGGCTGTTTAACTGAGCCAAGGATTTATCACGCCCAGCGTGAGCTGCCAGAGCGCCACAATGTGCTTCCTGCACTAGGTGTTGTCTCCAAGAAGAAATCGGAACACACAGTAAGTTGTTGTAGAAGAGAAAGCCGTGGCGGATTGAGTATTCTGGCACATTTTCCTGCTGGACACATTTATTCCATATGGTAGAAAAGTCTGGATCGGTGGCATACAGTTCCTGCAGGCAAACTAATCCGGTGAATTAAGTTTGCAGTTGAGTTAACAGCATTGTTTTGCGGCTAAGGGCATCCGCTACTTTGTTGTTTCGGCCGGCCTGATGCTTGAGTACAAACGAAAATTTTTGCAGGAACGAGACCCAACGGGCATGCATCCTATTGATGTGTTTCTGGTTATTGATGAACTGAAGGGCGTGATTGTCGGTGCAAATTACGAACTCCTGATGAAGGAGATAGTGCTCCCATTGCTTCAAAGCACGGATGACGGCATACAACTCCTGTTCGTAAGCCGACCATTTCTGCCTAGCGGGACAAAGCTTCTCGCTAAAGTATGCAATCGGGCGCCCATCTTGTGATAAAACGGCACCAACGCCCGTGGCCGACGCATCGGTCTCAACTGTAAAGAGTTTATCAAAACAAGGTAAGGCGAGCACTGGAGCCGAAGTTAGAGCCTGTTTAATGGACTCGAAGCTTTGCTGTTGCGAAGGACCCCAAGCAAAGGTTTTGGATTTTAAGCAATCTGTAATTGGGCTCATGATTGAACTGAAACCCCTAATAAATTTTCTGTAGAAATTGGCGAGGCCGTGAAAACTGCGGATGTCGAAGAATGACGTTGGGGTGGGCCAGTTTACAATGGCAGCAATTTTGTCAGGGTGCATCGATAGACCATTTTCGGAGACAAGGAATCCCAGGAATTGGACTTGAGAAGTGGCAAACTCACATTTTTGCAAATTAAGGAACAATCTGTTCTCTTGCAGGATGACAAAAACTTGTCTCAGATGGTCGTTGTGCTGCTCTTGGTTGGTGCTATAAACCAGAATGTCGTCGAAATAAGCAATGCAAAACTGCCCCCAAATATGTTTGAGAATGTCTTGTATCATTCGCATAAACGTCGACGGCGTGTTGCATAAGCCGAAAGGCATAACTCGCCATTCATACAGACCGAAGGGGGTCTTAAAAGCCGTCTTCCATTCGTCGCCGGGACGAATTCTGATCTGGTGATATCCGCTTCTCAGATCCAGCTTGGAAAATACAGATGCACCACTGAGCTTGTCAATTAATTCCTCAATTCTAGGCACCGGAAAACGGTACTTTACCGTGATTTTATTAATGGCTCGGCTGTCTACACAGAGGCGCCATTCTTTGTTCTTCTTCGGCACTAGCAGGGCTGGAACGGCACATGGACTGATGCTCGTTTGAATTAGCTGTTTTTGGAGGAGGTCTTCTACAATTAGCCGTAAGGCTTCTTGTTCCGCGGGATTAAGCCTATAATGAGGCAAATTCGGTAATGTGGCATTTGGCAGCAGGTCGATTTGATGTTGAATGGATCTTAAGGGCGGCAGCGTAGCAGGAAGCTCCTCAGGACAAATGTCTTGGAATTCAGAAAGCAAGTTACGAATCTCTGCAGGTACGGTTGGAGGCAGAGCAAGGCCCGAATCTGTAATCACCAAAGCCCACACATGATCTCTGTTATCCCTCATAAGGAGTAAATTTGGGCCGGATACTATCTGCATAACAGAGGAGGTAGAGGTGTTCGGCATTAGCGGCTTGTCCTCAATGGCTCTCGGCAGTAGACGAAGTCTTTTGCCCTTCCAATCTAAAGTGTAGACATTAGCTCTCCCATCATACACGACTCCAGCATCGAATTGCCAGGGCCGCCCAAGAATTAAATGGCATACATCCATCTCCAAGACGTCGCAGAGAATGTCACAAACATATTGGCGGCCAATGGAGAATGTCACTTGACACATTTCGGTCACCTGAATATCCACACCTTTCTTCACCCAGCTGATCTTGTAAGGCTGTGGATTCTTTGTAGTCTTCAATTGAAGGGCTTGAACAACGGAGCGGGCTATTATGTTCTCAGTACATCCACTATCCACAAGAAGGTTACAAACCTTTCCACTAATAGTGCATCTAGTCTTGAAGATAGCATTTCGTTGAGACATATTACTTTGGCGGGGTGCAATCAGCAATTTCTCTAAGACACACAATACCGGCTCTCCATCATCTCCTTCAACGTCTTCAACATTTTCGTCTTGGTTATCATCCGGCTCCTTCTCCCAATCTAAATAATCCTCAATATGCACATGCCCATCAAAGAAAGGTATATCTACCTTGACCTTGAACTTGGCCTGAGTTCTCTGAGGATGTGGTCGCCGCCCGCGCCTGTGATTGTCCCGAAAATACTCGCCCCCATCTGTCATTTCTTCAAACTCACTCACGTCCTCTTCAAGTTGTCGCCGGACCTCTTCTTCCGAATCGGACGCTTCAAAGTTTTGGTGTCTGAATCGTGGCGCCAGTCGATCAAGGCCCATACCACGCCGAACCGCAGGAGCTACCGCCTGTGCCGGATGTAGGCGCGGATGATGGGGTGCGTTCCTTTCTCGACGGAGATTAAACTCGCGGCGCATTTCAATCGTGAGACGCTGGACATCGGCGGACAGTGACTCCAGCTGCCGCGCGATACTAGCTTGGTTTGCCCACAGTGCTTCCACACTTCGCCCCTCGTCAGGAACTGGCTCTTTTCCCTTGTCGGTCATGCTGCTGTAGTGGCTCTGATACCAACCCGATGTACTCCAGGACCTGCAAAAGAGATAACAACAAACAAAACCCAAAACGAGACAAGGGAAAGAGGAGAAGAAGGCTTCAACGGCTTGTATATTCCACTTGAGCTTTG